CTTCTCAGTTTGGGATGGGCTTATATTCTATAAGCAAGAAAGATTGTATCTTCCCTCTAAGGATCTGCAACAGTTGTTTCTGCGGGAACATCATGATGTTCCAGCAGCGGGCCATGGTGGAAAGCGAAAGACTCTGGCTTCATTGAAAAAGGGATTTTTTTGGTCTGGTATGGAAGGTGATGTAGCGGATTATGTCCGTTCCTGCCCTATATGCCAGCAATGTAAGCGTAAAACTGAGAAGCAGGCTGGAAAGTTGCAGTGCATTTTAGTACCAGCCTGGTCATTTCAGAGTGTGACACTTGATTTCGTCATTTGCTTGCCGAAGTCTAAGAGTTATGATACTTTGATGGTGGTTGTGGATCGATTGTCAAAGATTGCACACTTCATTCCAACTGTGGGAACAGTGAATGCGAAACAAGTAGCAAAGCTCTTTTTCCATAAAGTAGTGCGGGTTCGTGGTCTTCCCGAAGAGATGATCTCAGATAGGGATTCAAGATTTACGGGGAAGTTTTGGGGCACTCTGTTCCAGTTGTTTGGTACCAAGTTAAGTTTACTGGCCCCATATCATGAAGATCTTGGCCGCTCTAGGGATGTTCGTCCAGCTCCAGATGTTATTGATGGTGAACCGGAGTATGAAGTTGAGGCTATCCTTTTGTCTCGTAAGGCATGTGGTGGTCGTGCGAAGGAATATCTAGCTAAGTGGAAAGGTTACCCGACTTGTGAATCAACTTGGGAACCTCTTAGTAATCTTACACATGCCCATAAGCTTGTCACGGAGTATGAGAATAGTAATAAAAAATAGCTTTTGTAAATCTTGTAATAAATCTTGCAATTTAATAAAATAATATATTTTTATAAATCAAAGTGTCGTTTCTATCGTTCGTTCGTACTTGGGTTAGTTTTGGCAGGCTGACTTTGGCACTTCGGTGCATGGGTTCAATCCATAACCATGGGGATAACTATTATAGACTAATCACAAGTCCCCGCCTCTCTCTCGTTGACTCATTTTCAAAAAGGGGCGTGGTTGTGTAAACAACTTAATCTGCCAGTTTATAGTAGTTGTCTAAATCTTCCCAATAGGGTTGATTTCTTGCTCAGGGGAAGTTGGGCCTTTGGCCTTCTCCCTATGTCCCTGCGGGCAGGGATGTATCATTCCTTTGTAAGCCGAGTGGTACCCGGAGCAGCAAGGGTGGCTAACTTTGTTAGTCATTTCCTTGTTGGTGACGGCCGGAGGGTGTTTGAGTCTTAACATCTTTGGACGTAAAGGAGAGGTCGTTCCATAACTCCTTTAAGTCGGTGTGTTTCCCACATAGTGTGCTTTCCGTTAACTTTCGGAGTTATTTCCTTGACGGTTTGCTAGACTCGGGTATACATCGACAAGGACATCAATCTTCCCTAAGGGGGGGAGAGTGTCGCGAATGTGACTTTGGGTATCGAAAGATACTTGTCGGCTAGTCCTTACGGACACTCTCTCTTTATTGCCACGACAGCAGCAGGTCGGTACTGCTGGTTCCCTTTATGGTCTTTGCCCAAGTTAGTTGAGAAACTGGTCAGCACATGTGCACTTAGACCGGAAGGGCACTAAGGAAGGAAATCCTAAGTTGTCATTAAGTCAAGCATACTTGACACAGTGATGAGAAATTCATGATGTTGACTTGCACTTGCTAGTGTTGGGAACCCTTGCGATATTGAGACTAGTCCCTCAATATTCGCTAGATGATAGCTTACCGTGTTTGCCAAACACCCTTGCTATCACGCCCTTTGTGTTGGTCTCATTTCGGTCTCAAATGCTATTTATGGAAAGTGTCTAGATTAGCTCATTTGGCATATCTACGGAATGTAGAGATCAGCCTGAACACAATGGTGTTCGTCCCGTGTCTAAATTCGCAATCTAAGGATATTCCATATTTAGTAAGTTTCGAACTTTTCCCAGAGACTAACTCCTGGTACTAAGGGAGGTTTGGGGCAAAAGCCCAAAGCATGTGTCCCTCACGGGGGGGGGGGGGGGGGGGCTGCAAATGTATAGTAGAGATAGTGGTTAGAATGCATGTCCGACCACTTGAGACATTAGTTTGGCTTCTGCTGGGCTGTATCGCTCTTTGTTCTGCGTCCGGCTTGGGTCTAAGCCCAAGCTCCACGCTACTCTAGTCGGTGGAGTACCCTCCTCCTCGCGTTAGGCCATTGGTATGCCAAAATTGTGCCAGACTCCGTCTAACACCATTTTGCATGTAGGTGCTGGATACGGGGAGCTGATGCTTGTGGGATTGTACCGGACCCTCGTTTGTAGCACAATGGGCTTGGAGTTCGGCACTAAATTCAAGTGCGCTACAATGCAATACACAAAAAAAACTTTATGCATGTTGTATGCAGCAATAATAATAGTGTCATTCTTATTTAGTATTTTTGAATAATCCAATTGATCAATAATTATAAATATATATATAATCTATAAATAAATATTAATCTTATTTCAAGATGGTAGAATATTCTAGAATATTTACCTTACAGGTTTTGCTTAAACAAACCAAAACTTATCTAATTACCCTTTTGTATTATGAGTGCATGGAATACATAAATATGCATATTTAATTAACCCAAAAACCCTAGATCATATATAGAGCAAATGGTCTAATGTAAGACATTTCAATTGGGGTTGAATTCTAAGCCCATGAAATGAAAGTTTGGTACACACTTAAATCCTCTATAAGCACCCAACTCCCTATATTTAGCTCCTATATGAAAAATGGTGTTAAATAAAGTGTGACATAATTTTAATATACTAGTGATCTAATGTGAGGAGATGGGTATCCCATTGATTAACACAACATAGATTTAAATCCAAGCCAGATATAAAATAAAGAGTGACACATCTTAATAAAAGCTAAACTAATGTCTTAAATGGTTAATTATGCTTTTAACTACTATCCTTACTATACATTTAGAACTCTATATCCTACATGGAATATAAAAATGTGCAAATTTGATTAACCCAAAAATCTTCATCTATAATGAAGACAATTCAATAGCTACCAAAACTATACTATGCTAATAATAGTAAATGGCATCATATCCATACACTTCGACCTCACATAACAAATATACTCTTATTTATTATTAAGTAACATAAAATATATATTGTAATATATCAATTAAGTTATATAATTAAAAAGTATATTAAATTTATATAGCCTAAGTAAAGAATAGGTATACATTTGGCTTAATTATAAAAACAAATAATATGTGGATGCATATATTTCATTTATAGATCAACATATCTACCAATGCTATTTATACTATGTTTCTTTAACAATTACATTTTTTATTCAAAATATAGAGATCTATAATGTAAATATATTATATTAGTTTTTTTTTTATATTAGTACATCTGGAGGAGTAAATTAATAATGACAATAAGTAATAAAAATAAAACTATGTTATAAATATATATTAATATTAGTATATTACTAAATAATATTTATAGTTACTTAAAAAAGTCGAAAAATGTTTTAAGACTTTCAAGGAATTTAGGAAAAGTAGTTTTATGAAAATTTCTTATACTACTTTGTATTTTATATTATGTGGAATTTAGTACTAACAATACTAACATATTTAATATTTGCTTGTCAATCTCAACAAATCAATATAGCAGTCATGCCACTTCATTTTTCAGATGCACATATAGATTTAATTATAAGATCAATGAGGTATTTACCTACTATGGCAGGTATTCATAACACAAGTAGATATGAACTTGGAATTTCTTGGGGATATCCTACCACTGTTTCTCTTACTTATATGAGATTTAAAACATTTAAACAAAGTGATAGAGAATCTCCACAATGTAGTGTAGAATCTTTAGAAAATGAAAGAATATTTGTTTCAGGTAGACTTCTATTAGAAGCATATAAAAGAATGGTTGACCTGGTTGAATTTGCAGCACAATCTAGAGCTTATGGACATGTTCAAGTTGTTATGCCATATTTTCTTGTAGATTATTTCACAATTTCAAGACCAACAAGAAATCCTAATCAACCACCACGACCAAAACTACCACCTATACTTCTCTTAAATAAATTATTTTTACAAAATTTAGAATTAAAAACAAATGAAACTAGTAATATTATTGATTTTGATGTGGTTAATTGCTGGCCATATATTTATATAGTAGAAGCTGGAAATTTAAAGATGATAGGATCTTATATAACCTCAAGAAACAGTATTGTTTCAGCTAATTATAAGTATAGACTCACATTATATGAAAATTGCAATCTTGTGCTTCACAATATCAAGAAAGATTTTAATTATTGGTCAACAAAAACTGAAAATAAAGACAAAAATTGTTATTTACAAGTGCTAATCAATGGTAAGTTGGGATATGGGGTGATAATGGTCTAGTTTGGTTGATAGAATTGGATTGTAATAAAATAAATTGCATTATGGTTGGTCTTGTTTTATATGTGACTAATTCAGGTATACTTATATTAAAAGATACAACTACTGGAAAAATATTTTCAATCTCAAATCAAAATTCATAATTTAAAATATTTGAAATCTATTATCATAAAGGAGAGAATTTTAAAATTATTTCACTCCATAAAAGGCTATAGAGGGTCGTAACTTTGTTCACCATTTGGGATCTTAATCTTGGGAAAGAGCTTGAAAATATTAGCCAACTTATAATATATTTTTCTAGGAGCATGATTGAGGTGAGGTAGTAACAACATGAGAAGCAGAGGAAATAGAGCTCCTCCCTGGTGTATTTTTCTCCCTTTTTCTTTACATCTGATCCCTTTAAACAATTTTTCTTCTTGCAAACAACACACACAACACCACTGACTCAACACATTAACACACTAACACTCCGAAAAACATAAGAATCGATCCAAGTGTAGCTTACCAAACTAAAGTACAGCATTGTAAGTTTGTGACAACAAAGCAGATGAAGCTTGCTCAAGGAAGCATTTACTTTATGGTACTGATTAGTAAAGGTTTACGCAAGTTATTGTAAACCATTATCCTAGAATATACTTGAATTTTTCTAAATGACTCATCTTTACATACTCTCCTTTCTTTACTCCGTCCTGGCTTCTTCAAACAAATCCAGCAGCTTCAAAGTCTGGAAGAACCAAGTTCCAAAGTTCGATTTGTTTTTTTCACTCCAAGGCTAGATTTTAGTCTACCTCTGGCACCGAGAGCTGCAAGCGAAACTTTGGGCCGTCGTAGTGATGGAGTATGGGCCGAAACGCATCCTCCTCCAGAGCTTTACAGGCCTTTCGCACTCTCGTTCTTACCTGTATGGGATCACGATGGGTTTTCCTTTGTAGCTCTTGCAGCTCAAGAACAAGAAAAAGCTTTCTATTCTCCTAGAAAACGAGAGACAAACCTGAGCTGGGAATCTCGACTCTCCGCGGCACTTCTTGTCCTCCCACGCAGTTGCATCGATGTTGGAGCCTCCAAAACTTGTTGCCTGGATTGGATTGATAGATTCTTTAGAGTTCCAAAGAGGACAACGGCAAAGAAGAACTTAAGTGTAATACGTACCTCGTAAATCCCATGAAGCTGATGCGTGGAGTAATTGTATAGAAACAATGGCAGCCCCGGCTGGATTGCTCTCACCGAGTCACGGTATCTTTGGGGAAGGCCTGCGAAGTTCTAGGTGAGAAACGAGATAAAGGAAAGAAAAAAATAAAAAACAAGAGAAGAAAAAAGAACTTACGAGCGTTTTATGGCCGAGAGCAAGAGAAAAAATGGAGATGGTGGAGTTTTGTTTCAACGGGATGTAAGGTTTACCGAAGAGTTGGCGCTTGAGATCTTCTTGCATGGTATCGTTGTTGCACACGAAGATATACCCACCGAGGACCTCGCTCCGGGGAAGCGTCTCGGATGGAGGAAGTGTCTTGAAGCGTTTGTCCTGACTGTTTTGCGAGCCTTGCTGCTGCTGCTGCTGTTGCTGGATCGAGGCAGCCTCCCCGGTCTTGGCCGACTCCACCGCGCTGCTGCTCATTTGCTTGTGGTGATCTTCGTGGCTGCCGCTCGCGTTCTTGGATCTTGCCGATCGCTTGGAACTGGAAGTGGAACCAGAGCTCCTGGTGGCTGCTGCATTGTCCGAAGCGCCGCTAGCGCTGGTGGGCTGTGGCTGCTGCGACTGATTTGGATGGCTTGGAGGATGGTTTTGCTGGATCGGAGGATTCGGAGGATGGCGATGGTGGTGGTGGTGATTTTGCTGCTGCGTCACAAATTGCTGGAAGTTCCACTTGCCCTCCTCGTCCATGCACCAGATCGGGCTCCCCCAAATCGCCAGCGTTGCTATGTGATAAACGCTCAACATTTAAGGAGGAAATCTCCCAGCTGATGGCCGCAAGCTTGCTACCACTCGATCGCTTGCAAAGAGCGAATCGCTTGAGAGACGAAGTAGCGCTTGCCTTCGAGAAAAATCACTCTCCGCGCCACAAACCCTGTTTTAGCCTCTTTTTTCTGACCTAATCCCATCGAATAATGGCCCCGCGAATTTCAACGGCTGGACGCTGGTCCACGTCAGCGGCAGTTTAAAGTGGTCTTATCCACGAAAGCTAGGATATTGTCGAGATGGAATATACCGGCACGTGAACACGTATTGACGAGATTTGAACTCACGCCCTTTCGCAAAGCCGTCATTATGCGTGTTAACTTAATCTAATCTGTTAGGTCTTTGTGCTTGTATCGTTATGCGCGGGCAAACGAAATGGGGGAGCTCATCTCGCGATCGCTGCTCCTCGGCGTCGCAATGCTGCTCTTGCTGCTCGCATTTGAGTGGAATCTTGACTGGAAGCACCTCGGATCACCGGCGTCGTGGGCCAGCGAGCGCTACTGCGTGAGGAAGATCGACGGCGCAGGCGGGCACTCCTCTGATTTCGGCCTCCTGGGCGTGCCCTGGTGCAAGTAAGTGCCGAAATATCGATCGACCGATCGGCATTGAGTGTTCCATTGCCCGGTCGTGAAAATTTCTCTTCCAGGTCCAAGATCCCGGTGGAATGGAGCAAGAGCGAGCTCCTCTTCGGGCTCTACGACTTCTTGCCCGTCTACGCGACGCGGCCGGTCCAGCAGAACCAGTGGGGGACGAGGCTGGATCACTCTTTCGGGCTGTGGTTCTTGGCGCGGCGGCTCCAGCCGGAGATTATCATCGAGAGCGGGGTGCACAGGGGTCACTCGACGTGGATCTTGCGGCAGGCAATGCCGAATGCGTCGATCATCACGCTCAGCCCCGAGCACCCGCGATCGCACGAGAGCGAGGGACCCTTCTACGTTGATGCGAAGGCATTCTACTTCACCGAGGAGAACTTTACCGATTTTGCGAGCATGGACTGGGACCAAGTCCTGGGCGACGTAGTGAGGCACCGATTTCGCGTCGACAAGGCCAAGGCGTTGGTGTTCTTTGACGATCACCAGAGCCATCTCAAGAGGTGAGAGCCCAAAATTTTCTTTTCTCTATCACTCTGTGCTCTTTGAAAGGGTGCAGCAGGCGCAGCAAGCGGGCTTCAAGCACCTAGTCTTCGACGATAACTATGACACTGGGTCTGGAGATGAGTACTCGCTCCGGCAAATATGTGATCAGCTTACCACCGGTGAGAGATCTAGAGATCTACGATCCTTTTTCCAAGAATCAGTTATCATCTTTGGTGAAATTTACGTTTCGCTTTGTCAGGAGGTGGCCACTCTTGCTCCCTGAGCAGCAGGGAGGCGGAGGTCCGATCCCAGCGAAAGAGAGCATGGGAGCGAGCAGTGGACATGACGGAGCTGTGCAGCATGAGCGGAGCGTGGTGGGGGATCCGGGGCGAGATGCGCGACAACTTCGACAAGATCAAAGTCCCCATCTCCCATCAGGATCACATCGAAAACTACAAGCTCGTCCAATCCATGCTGCAAATCTACTGGGAGGTGCCGCCGCTGGCCAGCCCGAGCTTGAGCTACCAGAGGGCTTACGACCCCGCAAGAACGGTGGCGCCACTCCTGGGGGAGGAGGAACGGGAGGTTTACAACAGGCTCGGGCTCGACAAGCTCGACGAGTGGGAGTTTAGCGAGTATTTTCAAATGGCTTACGCGCGACTCAAATGATCTTCTAAACACCAATCAGATTTTTAAAATATTCCTTCACAGAAAGCAGATGCTTGAAATATTTTTCTGAATTCCACTGCTCTTTTGCCCGTCAAAGCCCGCGTGGCAAAAGGGGAAAGATCCTGGCCGTACATGGTAATCCACACGTGCACTTTTGCATCTTGCCAACGTGGCAAGATTATAAGATTTTGTATATATTATATGTATATATTTTTCTATGTAATTTTTATTTAATGAATACTTCTGGTTGTTTTTGCCTATAAATGGTATGATGTACTATAACTTTGCATGGTATTATACATATACCCACCTTTTCATGCTATGTAATTATGAATGTATCATTCAGAATGATCTTTCCATACTTGTATTAACCTTCACATGAATCATATCTATATGAAAGGTGGTAAGATCAAGATATGTCCATAACAACACCAGGTCACAACTATGAGAGTTACTGAAAAGTGTGATGAAGTTTACTGTATGCAATTTGTTTAGTATATATACAAGTTGGGACAAAGGTGATATAAATACATTAGCTAGGCACCTAATTAACTTTCCTTGGTTTACATAAGTTAGTATTCCATAGCTATTGACTGCATTAGGTTGCAACTTCCTTGATCAAGTTACCATGGAGGGAGATCACAAACTAGGAAAAGAGGAGCAATTAATGCATGTACACAAGGAACTTACTAATCTTCAAAATAATGGTGCATACAAGGTGTAAATATATATCATTCATTCAGTCATTAACTGTTTACAGGGTCTTGTGGCACCCACCAAGAAGCATAAGACTGATGGATTATAGTAAGCTGTTTTGATGATCTCATGAGCCATTTGTTTGTTGAGCTCCTCTATTTATAATTTATAATCTTTCCTAAACACTTTCTAGTATATTCTTGTTTATTCTACTATTGATATGGCCAATAAATTATAAATATGTTTATAACCATTGATCAATTAAAATACTCAATGAATGATACTAAGTATTGTCTCTCATATTTTTTATCCTTCACCATGGTGTGCCAGCTAAGATCCTTTTGCGTCTTTTCAGGTACCATCTTTGTTTGGGTTTCATGGACAGCTCCATCAACCTTGCATCACACTCTTTCCTTGCAAAGTTTACCAACCTCCCGAGATAAGCTTTTCTCTCATTGAGCAAGCATGCTGAGTAGTGGATTCCATCCAGATTTCTCTCCCAGATCTGTGAGTGGAGCCTCTTCTCTGCTAAGTTGCTGTGTGCCTTGAGCACCACCATGAAAGTCTGAGCGTTTGGCTGCTGGCTTGCTCATAGCACTCAAGAGCAAAGGTTGTTCTCAGCATATCCCAGGAAACAATGTTTTGCTACTCCATGCAAAGTCTCAGCGTTTGGAGGCAGGCCAGCTTCTCGTTGCATCTGATAGAAGACGTGCTGTCCCATGATGATTGTGTTCCAGGCAACCAACGTCATGTTTATTTGTCCTCCTGAACACTTCTGATGCTTCCACATGTCCACGAGGCTGCTTGTGACGAATGCATCGGCTTTGAATTTGCGAGGTAGACCAACCTATCCTGTTCTTCGTCCCATCCTGTTGAACAACCTGTGTTGCAAGCGGCAGTGTAGACTTCGACCATACTTTCACAATTGCACTTGCTTGAATGATGCTCTTGACTCTGGAGAAACTTATCTGGCCGCTATGCCCTGCACTGCTTCTTCTCATCGAAGTTGAGCTTTGAGCGCCTGCAAGAACAGAGAGAAAAAGTAGTACGTTACCTTTTCTCAAACCTTTCGTCTCAAGCAACTTCTCTGGCCTTTGGAGGTGCACTAACGTCTGCTCCCCCGTCACTCTAGAGGATAGCTCAGTCAAATCGAAACTTGGTAGGTTCTTGCTCTATTTTCCAGTCCATGTTCCAAGCCACCTGTGCAATAACTTCCATGTCTGGTGACTTCCACCAGTTGACCCTTGTATGTGATCTTCACTGTCCGTGAGCAAGATCCTGCTGTCTTCTTGCTCTGCAACTTCATCTCCTTGAAGATTGTTTGTACACAATCTTCCATGTGACAACGCATGCACTGTGCTGACTTATGCGTCACTGCCAGTGTTGGCAGGACACTTTGAGGAGAATCCTAGAGTGCCATTGCTGTGCGAACCACGAGTGTGAACTTCCAGCTGTTTCTTTTCAGTGGGAGGATCCTCCACCACAACTTCGATCTGCCACCCGGGATCCTGAAAGATCACATTACTGCGCTGCTTCCTTCGAGATAACATCCATCGCACGAGCAAAAAGCACGCGAGCAGCACCAAGATCGCAACCAAAACCCAGAGAAGAAGCTGGAGCAGCGACCACGTCGTCCTCCGAACCACTGTAACTACTGCTGCGGGTGTTGGTGTGGCCACTGCTGCGTCGTGACTGTCGCAACGATGGTGGTGGTGGTGGTGGTGGTGGTGGTGGCGGCGTCCTCCATGGTGGTGACCATGGTGATGGTGGTGAACAACCAGAGGAGCTCCATCACCGTGATGATGATGGTACACTGCTGCTGCTGGAGCTGGATGGTGGTGGCGAGCATGATCGAGGATAGCAGGCGCTGGAGCTAGATGAGCAGGGTGGCCGTGAGCAGGGTGAACGAAAGCAGCTGGCGCTGGGGCTCGATCTGGAGCGTCACCTTGAAGAACTGGAGCTAAAGCTGGCGCTGGCTCGTGGCCTTGGTGTCCATGGTGGTGTGCTGGATGTGCTGGAGCTAGAGCTGGGTGATGGCCCAGGGCGCTTGAGCTCAGCGGGCAAGCATTGGGGCGGCGTGAGCGCGAGAGACCATAGCTTACCTGACAAGAGCTTCGACAATAGAAAAATTCAAGCCAGAAAGATTATAATTTAACTCTTGACTTACAAAAATAAAGAGGTACTTTTGGCTTTGTGAAAAAAAAAAACGAGTAGACTCGAGAGCTGGATTGTCAACAAGGGTGCCATCAGGCTTGAGCATGCCAAAAAGCTCAAACCTAGATGTGAACAGCGATTTAATCTCACAATCACGAAATGCTCTAGGTATTTCAAAAAGAGAAAATAACTTTAATTTTATGGCAACTCCTTTCCAAGTTCGCAGTGAACAAAACTTTTTTACTCGCTTTTCCAAACCTATGGAAACTTGGCACTCATTGAATGTGAGTCATGGAGCTCATAGAGACGCTCAGCCAGCAGCGTGCACAAACTACTTCCTTTTGCAAAAAAGTGGGAAAATCTATCCATTGCTCTTTTGATATTCTCACAGTGCAACATAG